CCAAAATAGACATACATATATTAACAAAACATTGAACAAATTTTTATCCATCTCGCCTGAAGACAAGCCAACTCCATCACTCGAGTTTCAACGACCTTTTATGACACTCTAAGTACGTATTAGTCATTCATTATATTTAATTTGGACTATAATTGCAGGTAAGTCGCCGTGGCATGAACTATTCCGCTACGGGGAAGATGGATGAGAAAATAACAACACGTTACCGTTGAAAGAGTACGTAAGTTAGAACAAAGAATACCTTGTATTTACTTGTATGATCTGTTCTTAAATGAAGAAATAAATAAATTTTATACTTTAGCTTTAAACGGCAGTCAGGATATAAAAATTAATATACATTTACAAATCTATACTAATATTATAAAGGTGAAGAGTTTGTTTGTTTGTTTGTTTGAACGCCCTAATCTCAGGAACTACTGGCCCGATTTAAAAAAATATTTCAGTGTTAGATAGCCCATTTATCGAGGAAGGCTATAGGCTATATATCATCCCGCTAAGACCAATAGGAGCGGAGCACCAATGAAGAATGTTTCAAAAACGGAGAAAATTTATTACTATTGAGAGACGCAGACGAAGTTGCGCGGGTCAGCTAGTTAAATATAACATTGATTGATTCTACTTATGTATGAATATGTGGCTTTTGTTAGGCAGTGCAACTAGCCATTTACTTCGAGTCAAGCTGACTCGAAGCAAAATGGCTTCCGGATGGTTTAAGTATACAATTAACTTGGACAACTGCGGTCATTCCTGTATTCTATTCATCTAATCATATATTCTATATCCCCTTCAATATGATCACTAAACATAGTTTTGTTTTTGTACTCGTAGGGTTGTCAATGTACAAGCATCACGAATGTCAACAAACATTGGCAGCTTTAAGCAGTTACCAAAATTAAATAAATATGTTTTCATCTAATTTTGCTAGCCAATTCAGTTCACAAAATAATGCTTATATTTAATTTTATACTAAAATTATGAAGACTTATGAAGATTATAAATATTACAATACAAACTTAAGTGAAAGTAAAAGTGTCTAGTTACTTTGTCCTTCTTAAAAGCAACAACCTGGCATTAACCGTTTAGTATTTAACTAAAAAACACTATAGTATAAATGTCAACCATAATAATCGTATATTCTAATAAACACAAAGCACTCTTTGTTCTTGCAACAGTATTATTCTTTACATTCGAAACTTTTTTGTTGATTTAAGATAACTTGTTTACGCTTATAATGTTTGTTTTCATGCAATTCGTATTAGTAATCGACTTTTTGTTTGAAAGTTTCCAATTAGGTGTAAAGTAGGCATTTTTTTTTAAAAGTTTCATTTTTCATTCTTTAAGTTCGAATCTACTCATGCATAGAATGTCGTGCGATACTTGTTGTGGCAGCCATGATAGTACCGGCCAGCTTCGGCTTAAAGGTTTCGTAAAACCTAATTGTAAACGGCATTATTATAACTATGGAGGGTAAGAAGCTTGTATATGAGGAACTGTCAGTCCAAATTGTGTATGTAGGTGGCGCTAGCATAGCTAAAGATATAGTAGGAAGGTACACAAGGCAAGAACTTTCGTTTTATTTAATATGTTGTTGATATGTTCGTTGTGATTGGGGATTTGATAAAGACATTTAAAATAAAAATTATAAAATAAACATATAAAATAAAATAAGGTAATTACAATCATATTGAGAACTACTTTACTACTAACATAAATTGCTAAGCGCAATGAATGATTTAAACAAACTAATTATTGATAATGAAAAAAAAAACAAAAAAACCCGTCTGTGTGAAAATGTTTAGGTATTACAATTTACAAATCGACGATTTTAATTTCTATATTTTCAAATTCCCAATGTCAGTCTCACAATTAAGACAAATTTACCGACACCTCCCAAGCCAAATTCCATCAAGACGTTGAGACTATGGAGCGTGCCAAAGAAATATATATATATATATACATACCACTCGAAAAATATAACCCTCCTACTATTAATTATGGTGTAATAAAGGTTAAAAATTATATTCTTTTAATTAACTTTATCAACTAGTTTTTAACAAGAAAACATTAATATTTAAAACAAAATTCAATTACGATAACTATATACGATCATAAAAATATTGAATAGTAACACCTGACCACTCAACAGAAAATCTTGCAAAAGAGTTTTTGTGTGTTTATTCTGGCAGGTTATATTTAACAGACAACTGAATGCATTGTCAATCTGTGGAACAAGTTATCGTCTGCGGTACTTTTGGGCCGATATGACCTTCAAGAAAATAACGTATCCACTCCTTCCTCAAAGACCGGTAACGCGCCTGTGACTCCTGAGTTGCAGGCGTTCATGGGCGGCGATAGTCGCTTTCCATCAGGTGACCCGTCAGCTCGTTTGCCAATCAAAAATTATGGATCTATCGCGACCACATTTTCGTGAGATTATCTCTCATTTTACGATTTTACAGTTGGACAGACTTTAAACTTTTAGAGGAAGTCAGCAGGCTTTTTTTAAATACTTTCCTGGACGCTATACCAAAGATTTGATAACACTTGCTTTATAACATATTACTTTGGTTTCGGAAAAAAATACTTAGTGTCCCACTTAACCACATACTGGTGCACCTGATCATAAGTGACTATTGCCGTCCACTGCAAACTTCAACTCCAGAATTTCAATTACATTGCCGCCTTGAGTCTTCCCTTTCAGAAATAGAGGGTCCTCTCCTAGGTTTTTATTTCGGTAACCTTGTTCACTCGGTGAAAAGCCACGAAAGAATTGCTTTGTTTACGTGCTTAACCGATTGCAAAATATTTAATAGATTGCCACCAACCATAAAGACGTTGCCCTTACTGAAATTTAAAAGGAAATTGAAAAATGGCTTTCAGAAAATATGATATACTCAGTAAATGAATACCTAAAGGAGCAATAATTACTAATATACCTGATAATATTTTATTGTGTGTTATATTCTATATTAATGAGAAATGATCGGAATGGAAAAATTGACATTGCAATTATATATTTGAAATTATTTATATTTAATTGTTTATTGACATGACGTAAGTAGTTTGTTATTAAATTAATCTGTTGTTAAAATATGCGTATACATTTTAAATGTTGCATGTCAGAACAGACTGACGAAGTATGTGATTCTTTTAAAATAAGGATTTACAACCTATGTACCATATTTCTGCAATTTAATGAACTATTAACATCAGTTTTCAGTGAGGCAGTGGTAGCACTCCGACCCGCATTTGTGCCGAAGCATGGTTCTCCCACCATTATTATTAACTGCCCAACAACAAATTAAATAGACATAACTTATACAAAACTATCTATTAGTCAGTCTTATCTAGTCAGTAATTTTAGAGAGTGAACATAAAACAGTTAATTATAATTAGGGTTATTTTTTTCTTCAGAAGGTTAGGAAAAAGTATACAGGATAGAAGTGTAGTTAAACCCGAACACAATTTAATTGATGCCAATCCAGTTTATTTTTTTCGAAAACATTTTTTTCATAGATTCAGATCTTAGCGCGCCGCAATTATTTGTCAAAACTGGTCTGAATCTTGATTTCTTAGATTTTTACATACACTATAATTCTTGGCACTAACTTCGCACTACAATTAATTCTTCACAGTTTCTTCATTGGCATCTAAAGTTTCATCCATCTGTTACGTGTTTACATAGCATCTAATAACTACCTACTCCACATAAAAGAGATTCAATAGTGTTAACAATTATTCATGCATGAAAAATTTCAATATTTTGGAATGACCTACAATTTGCCGTGTCATTGAATTTTGAACTATATCATGTATTATGCACGGTTTATATTGTTGTGCCATTCTTGTATCTATTTCCTTTTAGTGATGCGTCTTCATTCGATTGAAGACTCTATCGATAAGCCACTAAAATAGCAAGTCGGGCGTTAATCCCAACAGCATGCCACAGATTTATTGCGGGTTGTTAGGAGAACCGCGTATTTATATTAAGTGGAGGAGCTGTCAGCGCCTACGCGGACGCCACACTGGACGGCTACATACAATAAAGTATTTCCATATCGAAAATTACGTTATATTTTCATTTTCCACCTATCATATTCGAATTTATTACAATTTTTAGGGCAATTTCCCATTTATTTAAAAATCTAAGTTAGTTCTCTGAAATGTATTGAAACAATATTAAATTACATAGAACAAATATCTACAAAATTTTAAATTATGACTTCGAGTACCTGTTAAATTAAGCTGTATAAAGAAATGTAAAACTTTGTGTTACTATAAAAAAGAAAAGTTTTGTCTTTTAAAGTTGCGAGAGTGTGTTAAAGGATTAAAACTTAAAGTACTTAAATACTGAAGTCAAGACAAAACGTATAACCCTTGTTATTTGTTTTGAAATTAACCGGTTAACAAGCTTAACCAAGCGTTGAAAGGTGACATTAAGGGGCCATTTATGTCACATAAATTTCACGAAGCGGATTGAGGACCAGTGCAGTAAACTAATTAGTAATAGCATTTTACGATACAAACCAATAAAAGCGTAAAATACATTTATTAATTTGGAATAATTAAAGTAAAAGGCCGGCTGCGACATTAAACTCTTTCGACTAGATCATCCAACTAATAATACCCCCGTACGTGAAATGTTTTGGCTGGTGCTTTTTGTTCGCGCCGGTTATTTCAGTTTTCCAGTAGGATTTTATACAAGATCAACTCTAGCCGTCTCCGCAGTGCAGCGCCAGAAAACGCTCTTTCGGACACTTGACGAAAATCACTTCGTAATTTATCTTAAATAACGAAATGGATTCCATGCTCAAACGATAAATAATAAAAGAAAAATTTAGCCTAAGACTTTCTAACACCAGTTGTAAGACTTATGTGTGACATCGACCACTTAACAGTGAAGTGTAGTGAAGATTAGTGAATGTGTATCCAAATTATTTCGGAATACAGTGCTGTGGGTGAAGCAGAATTTATCGACAAATATGTCGGAATTTTTCGGACCATGGAGCAACAAGGGCGACGACGACGACGCGGAGGTGGTAGAGGAAACTGTAGAGACAGTCACCACCACAACCAGGACAAGGAAAAGATCAGCAGTAAGTCAACAGCAACCTCAAATCTGTCTCGTGACTTACGGAACAAATAAAACGCAGTATAGACATTTAGTGGCATTCCGTTGCCGCTGTCTAACAGGTGAAAAAAACATCTTTAAAGCGTTACATATATGAACAAGATCACCTTGATAGCTAACGAAAGAGAAGGCAAATCGTGACAAATTTATTTTTATTGCGACTCATCTGTATCATTGTTAAAGGTGTTTATTTTGAACAAGTCCAGAGCGCGGATGTCACGGGCGCTGTCAAAGTAGACTCCCAGTGATATAAGCCAGCTTTCGTATCAAGGTGAAGGCGAGCTTTACCGTCATCTGTCTGCTTTTTGTAAATAAAATGACGCACTTCTCAAAATCTGCACCATAATTTTTGTAAAGACTCCTTGACAGGTCTTTCTTAGGAATCTGAATTTCACATATGAGTTCATATATCAGATATTTCACCAAAGAGAATCTCAACGCGGATTTAGTGCCCTGGATTATTTTTAAACTTACAAATATTTTTATATAAATAATATTCTAAGTTTGAATTTTGGCGACTGTCTGAAAACAAATTATTGCTGTTGTTTTAATTCTTTATGGCTCATATAGCACAAGTGTCTCGTAAAGAAATAATTAGGATTACTTGTTGGCTCCCTTTTGTGCTGACGCTAATTTAAAAACCTACGCAAACGTCTTCTTTCTGAATGCTCTCGGCTAAGGACCCCATTTATAATGGTCACAGTAATTAACTATTTGAGAAAGCTTAAACGTGCTAAAAAATACAAACAACTGTTAATAACAAAAATCTAGAAACTGATGTGAAACACATTTTTTTTTAAATCCAGATAAACACTGATAGGTATTTCGTTTTGGCCATTGTTTTGTAAATTTAGCATGTCATAAAAAATGGATACCTCCAAATGAACCAAGTAGTAAAATGTCTTTACTATTTACTTTACATTTTAATTCTGCCTATGTCTTTAGGATGACAAAAATATGAAGTCGGTGTCGTAATATATCCCACGACAGGGTTACGTACATGTAAAACGTTCAACAAAATCGTGTGTATCACTATATCACGATACTGGACGAAGACAATTGAGTATGCGTTAACAATATGTACATTTACAGTAAATGGCCTTTTGTTTCGAACAATAGCACATTTTGTAAGTGGAAGTCTCTTAAATGAAGTTATGACAATAATGTATTCGTCTAATAACAGTGCAAATAATTTCCGTATTCTGTTAAATAAATGTAAAGTTCGGGGGGCACGTTATATCATATATTATTCTGTAATAAGACTTTGGTTGAAAATGCTAAACTCTTAGTCGAATTTGGAGAATTCTATTGTATTTTAATTGAATTGATAGCTCAATTCTTGAAATTCGTTCGCATTAGAAGCGAAGGAGTTACCGCTCCTTAGCTGACAGTTCTTTGAGAATTTATGGTTTTGTGGTACGGTTTTAATTAAACTTATTTTCACAAAATTAAAAGGTGATCAGTGGAGTTTGAAATGTGTAAAATGTAGTTGATAGACATTAACTTTGGTAATCACCGCTCTTGCGCACCACTCACCGGTGTTTGTCACCATTGCTGTTAGGAAGAAACCCACTATATTGGAAAGGAACATACCAATACTCACTGTTATTTATCGCGAAGCAAAACAATGTCAGACCAAGTTAGACATCAGATTATCTATTTAGAAAAGATGCCCAAAAAGAAATACAGGCGAGATATCGATCTGGTGTCGAACAGTGTCTGCCATATCGTAAGTAGGACTATTTGTATGATTATGTGAATATGAATTTGTAACCTTGTTCGTTACGCTGCGCTTTTATGTTCTAAATACTAAACAGACTCACAGAGATAAAAGTTTTAAGTTTGAAACAATCACTCTTTTTAAAAGGAAATGTTATAAGTGCCTAAAATTGCCCAACCCAAATAAACAGCTTCAGTAAAAATTTGATGAATCCAAGTTTTACGGTCACCAGATTATCAGAACATTCCACACGTGACATTGGGATACGTGGTATTGGGAAATTTATTGAAGGTTTGTCTAAAAAATAAATTTCTAATTGTAAGCTGTTTTTTTTGTGATGTTCTTTTATATTCATTTTAATCTTTCTTCTTTATTTTTATGATGTTCTTATTGCTTATACATACAAAGAGAGGTTAATAAATTCTATATTAATTAACAGACTAAAAAATATCTTCATAAAATAAATATCCTTTTATAGTAAATAACTAAGTTTACAAAACTATGAACATAAAAAAAAACAGATACGTTCTAACATGGCAATATTACTTGTTTCTAGGCTTCTGGTTCTCTGGTCCGGTTCCTCCCCAGAGTCCCCATGAAAACCGAGCTCCGAAGGGATTTTCCACCGTCATTAAAAAAATAGGCTTCTGTTTCTCTGTATAATGTTTATATCATTAGATCGATCTCGAACAGAAAATAAGAAATATATTTAGAAATATGCCTAAGCATTGTTGTTTTGTTGAAAGTGCAGCTTTGTTTAAATCAGAAAATACAATGTAAACAATGGTATGATTCATTGCATCCATTGCTCCACATACTAAAATATTAGTTTCCTTGAAACAATGTTGATACCCAAACAGCTACAACTCACAGGTTATATTTTTATCTAGGTGTTTTTTCTTAATTGGACCACATGGATTCACAAAGCAAATAAAAAAGTGATCTCATTCATTAGGTATATCAAAGGGCCACAGATTCACACAGGACAATAGAGCTACATACTTAAAAAGCTTTCAAGTTGCCTGTTTTGACAAATTCGTCTAAAAATTTCTCGTAATGAAGCACTCGCAAGTATGGTAAAATATTTAGGCTATAAAATTAAACGCAATAAATTGAATATTTACATAATTAATTTAATATAAATAATCCTGCTTATCATCTGTGTAACTTGAACTGTTGTTGTACTCTGTATTCTGGTACTCGTAACCTCACTCACTCAGTGAAAAATTTTTAAAGTCACCATCGCTGTTATTGTTTAGATTTTTCAGAATAATTTTATGTCTTTTCCATTCTTTTATTTATTTAAGGATCGCCAACAAAGGATGTCGGTACACAAAATATCGAAAATCCATTTCACACTGGTATTTGTTATGTGTACTCCTTCAATTACAGGCGAAAATTTAAAGTTTGCGTGTTTAATTATTAAACATTCAAATCCTAATACAGAGTATTCACAAACCCTGTGCATTAATACATAGAGAAATCTTATACAAACAAAAAAAGGTATACCTATGAGAAGAATTGGGTCAATTATTTTTTTACGTCGACAGAATTAGCTGTGTGCGAACTGAGTATTTAATATTTCAAAACTTATCAAAACAGTGTTAAAAGCGGATTGTAATAATAATTTTGAAAGTATGCTCTAGGAGGTCATTGAACTCTGAAGTAGACGGAAAGTATATATTTATGAACAGGGTTGAAGAAAGAATACGAACTGCTCTTTGAAATAACCATGATACTTACATGTTTTGGAATATAAATTCATTGTCATTGCCTAATAGTATTTTTTTTTTAATACCTTGATGTTTTGCTTTATATAAAATCTTTATTTTTAGCTGTGTTATGTGTAGTCTAATTAACATTAATGAGTTTGTTTATTTTTCATGCTCAGTCAGAAGCACGGTCAGTAAATGTATGATTAAGTTGATAATACTTTTCAGAAATATAGTTTATAATAATTTATTCGACTGCCTCGGTGTTCTGTTCGATTCCCAGGTAGGGCCATATATTTGTATGTCTGCAATTTTTTTTTCGGAGTTTGGGTGTTTTTAATAATATGTATGTATTTACAAAAAAACAACCGGTCAGGTACGAGTCGAACTTGTGCGCCGAGGGTTCCGTACCTACCCAGATTTTACGTAGATTTTCGCGAAAATTTGTAAGTACCAAAATTTATCTTAATTTTCAACTTTTTTATTTTCCATTCTCTACGGATGGATGTTAAACCCGTCAGTTCAGTATGTCAGAATCGAAGCGTCTGAATAAGTACTTAATTAAGCCCTTTACCACAAGTCGCTATTAAAAGTTTAGTGGTTAAATGTTATATAGTAAAATGATTGGTAAATTAAATGTTTAGTCGCGACATTCTTTTAAGTGAGTTTGGAATGACTTTTTTTGTTCTGGATAAACTATTTATCGAGAAATAAAAATGGCTATAAAACGCTGGTGGTACCCTCAGGACCAGAGGAGGACCCCTTAAAAAAAAACCTAGTAAGTGTTTAAAAACTAAGGAAAAATAAAATTCAGGAACAAGAAAAGTACATAAACAACAACGATTTGGCAAGGGTTCATATGTAAAAGTAATACAGTTCTATTAATTCTGCATTTCATGTATATATGCGGATTTAATTTTGTAATTAATATCTCATAGAGTACTAAACATCTCATCAGTCTTAAACTATTTTTTAATTAACTAACTAAGATTATTATCTAAATATATAGAATTATATTGTAGATTAATTTTCAGGTTTATTGAAGCCTGTATATAGCTGTTGCATCTTCTGATAACAATACATAAGTATAGGTGCGAAAGAGAAGTGGAAAAAAATAAAATAAAAGGGGCAATAAACCCAATAGAAATGATATTCCTAATAGGTAGTTTTGATGCAATTTCTTTCATTCTTAGTACTCCTAGATCGAACTAATCCTTGGAATTTCTTTTTTCCCAAAAATGGTTTGAAGGGACTATTATGTAACGAAATATATGTGCTCCTTCCTTATGCTTAATAAATGACGAAGCTCCAATGATAAGTTATAATTGTATTTTTTTCAAATATCTAGAAGAATTGGATAAATCATAAACAGGTCGAAAAAGTAAAAATTATCAGAATGTAATTTTCAATGCATTTGAACTTACCAACTTGCAACCCTTATTACCTCATTACTGAGGGTTGCCAAATTTTTGTCACGTGTAGTAATCGGCTTTGATTTATGTATTCCAATATCTGATATAATATAATGATCATTTAACATTTATTCATCTTAATGAACCTTAAGATTTATTAATAAGTTTTAGTCGCCACAATACCTTTTCTACATCAGTATCAACGAGTGGGGTGACAATAAAAGGGTGCGATGTAAATTGCCCCTCACAACAT